GCCTCAGAGGCTCGATCCGCCAGTCGATGCTTAGCCTCCCGCCCTTGCAAACTTCCTTAAACTCCTGGAACTTCTTCGATTTCCCGCAGTGCACGGGAGTGGTCTGGCCTCCCGTGCAGCCGTGAACTCCCTCCACCGATATCCCACACACTGGAATCTGGCACGAGCTCCTCCCACACGCGCTCGATAGCTCCCCATCCTTGAGCAAAACGGTGCCTGCATCCGAGCAGCCAAGCAGCAACGCCAGGATCCACAAGCAGCTCATCACCTTCATCGTCCTCATCATTCTAAGTTTTGATTGGATCTTAGAATGTTGTTTGTTATGATAAGCTGGAATGGAAGTGTTGGAATTTATAGGCAAAAGCGTCCTTACATTTCACAACGCGTGGTCCTTGACGTGACTGACCTCTCTGAACTACACGTTGGGATGCTAATAGACCAAAATGGTGTGCAGTCTTGCTTGACTTCGCTATAACGGACGAGGCCTTTTTGCAACGTGGTGAGATGACGTTTTTGACCCCATTAGAACGAGTATGAGCGACTGAAAGTTCTAATCGTTCCAAATCCTTGTCTAAGTTCTCCGTGGCGAGGAATCGTGGCCTCCAAGAACTAGCATCAAGACGTTTTGGTGTTAACTTTCAAGTCTGTTGACCTTCATTGACTAAGACCATTGACTAAAATTTACTTAACAATTAAATAATATATGATTACCGTATAAGCCCTAATATCCTTCTAGGGCATTGCAACTAAAATTCCTCTGGCGCGATGCTCGACTTCGCGATCCGCTATGCGTTGGCCATCGCGCTGGTCTTCTCCTGCATAGCTCTCGGTAATTCGCCATTACATTTGGATCGATCCATTACCCCAATCTCTTTCAGGATGGTTCGTGGCGTGGAAGCTGCTGCTCGTTCACATTCCTCTTGTCCAAGAGATTTGCGGCTTGCGGAAGAAACCTAAGAAACCCGTTCTCAGGGCCAGCGCTCCATTCCCGGACAGGTAACGCGAAATTTCGATCAATACCAGCTCGCTCCAATCCTTGAGAATCGGCAGGGTGAAATCGCAGTGATTCTTAGGGTTTATCAGAGCAGGGTTTCCAGGGAGCAGCGGCAGCGGCAATGTTCTCGTCCACGGCGTCTTCGATCTCCAAAATGTCCGCTCTCGTCAGCGGCGTCGGCACGGATGCTGCGATCTACGACGATCCCCAGGACGCGGACATTCCTACGCTGCTCGACAGTCGCTACGACGCGGACAAAGCCCAGGGATTGAAGCGCCTCATCGCGCTCATGGCACAGGGGCAGGACGTTTCCACATTCTTCCCACAGGTAAATTTCTCTTCATAGATGATTAGCTTCTTCTATCGTCCCTTCCTTCACAAATTCCTTTTTTTTTCACAGGTTGTCAAGGGCGTTGCTTCACAGTCTCTGGAAGTGAAGAAGCTCGTTTACATCTACCTCGTCCACTACGCTGATAAGTAATGCTAGAACTTCTCCAGTTTCCAGGAAAAAAAATTCTCCAACGCGATACATCTTTCTTCTTCTTTGTAGACGACCAGACGAGGCGTTGCTTTCTATCAACAGTTTCCAAAGAGATCTATCCGATATCAATCCTCTGGTTCGTGCTTGGGCCTTGCGAGCGATGTCCGGGATCAAGGTCCGCGCAGTTGGCCCTCTCGTTATCATGGCTGCAAACAAGTGTGCCAGAGATCCTTCTCCTTACGTTCGGAGGTGTGCTGCGAATGCGGTTTCCAAGATTCATTCCATGGGTGACGAACAACATTTCGACGAGCTTGTACAGGTACGGTTGTTTCCAGTTCGTTGTCTGTTGGATTAGTAACAGGATCTTTTTCAGCTTGTGTCCATCTTGCTGAACGACAATTATCCGGGCGTAGCTGGAGCCGCAGCGCAGGCTTTTATCTCTGTTTGCCCGGAGCGTTATTCCTTATTGAGCTCCAGCTTCAGGAAGCTGTGTGGACTACTTTACGAGGCTGATGAATGGGGACAGATTTCTCTTATGGACATCCTGATGCGGTATATCGTGGCAAAGTATGGCGTTGTTAGAGATTTCAGCTCCGTGAACGTAGAATTCTCATGTTTACAGCAAGCACACGAAGAAAATGGTGGCGACTTTTACAAAGCTGACACGAGATCCTCGTTTCCGGATGAGAGGTGGGAAGTGAGGCTCATGCTATCGTCTACGCTTTCTCTGCTACGGAGCCAAAATAGTGCGGTCGTATTACAGGCGGCAGTGATCCATTGGTATTTTTCTCCGGGCAATGAACTCAGCAACATTGTCAAGCCATTACTGTTTTTACTTCGTTCGTCGCTTGATGCACGGCATGTGGTGAGAATTTGGCAGTTACTTCAGCTTTTGATCTAAGCCTTCTGTTTCAGGTGCTTGCAAATATACTTTCTTTCTCGAAGTGTGAGCCAAGTTTGTTCGAGGCATATTTTGAAGATTTTTTCATATGTTCTTCTGACTCTCAAGCTATTCAAGCTCTGAAGCTGGACATACTAACAAACATAGTGTCAGATTTGTCCGCCACGCAAATTCTTCAAGAATTGGAGGTAAGCAAGACAAATGTTTTCCTTTGCTTACTTGCTACTTCATCACAGGCCTATATACGAAACCCAAACTCTCAGCTGGCAGCAGACGCAGTAAACTCGATTGGCCGGTGTGCGCTTCGACTGTCTTCCACAGTGGCTATATGCACCAAGGGTCTTCTCAAGCTAGTTGTTTCTCGGTCTTCCCGTGACGACGATTCGCTCCACAATGCAAATGATGCTGAACCAAAGGTTGGAGACTCTGGACGCGAACAATATAGTCCGGGGAGGGGAAGAGTGGTGGTTCAAGCGGTTTCGTCGCTAAGAGCTATTATGCAGAAGCACCCAGCAGAGCAGGACCAGGTTTCTTTATGTTGTTGTGTAAGTGCTGGAGTACTGAACTTTAATCTTGTCTTGCAGGTAATTCTTCATCTTTTACGCAACTTAAACCACATTTTAGAGCCAACGGCACGTGAAGTCGTCATTTGGATGATTGGTGAACAAGCGATTGCTCGTCCTGCACTTGCTGAAGGAATCCCTGTGGCCCTGCGGTATCTAGCCAAAACGTTTGCAAACGAGTCCAATGGAACTAAGCTTCAAGTTTTGAACTGCCTTGCGAAGGTAAGCTTCTTTGCTGCTGATCTCTATCTTACAGAAAAAATGATCCAGATCATTTCATCTTCTCAACGGTGCTCGTCTTTGAAGACTGTCCTGTTAATTCTTCAGTATATTCTGGATCTTGCCGCCTGTGATTTAAACTATGACGTACGAGATCGAGCCTGGATTTTACGAGTTCTCTTGGCTGGCCATTTAGACGCTATCAAGCACCATTCGTCATATGACGCAGATCCACGTCTTCCGGAGATTATCGACGCTATTTTACTCAACATTGATCAGTCAAAACTTGATCCAGGTGTACTATCCAAAGCTGCCAACTCCATGTTTCTTCGCCAGAAGTCGGTACCAGTATTACCTTCGTTGAGTTTACAGCCGTCCACATTCCTACCAGGATCGATGTCTCATATGGTTCAACACAAGTCTCCTGGATACAGACCTCTTCCACGCGAAAGATACACGGATTTGAGTCCTTCCAGCCCAACTTTACCCGAAAGACAACCCGAACTTCAAAGCCAGAGTGAATCTACGGACTCGGGTAGTGAAAGCTTTGAATCTGAGGATGACGGGAACTATACAGATGACGATCTTGCTGTTATAAGTGACGCCGACGGGAACACAGCGAAGGAGAAAGCAGATTTAATTTCGCTGTCTGACACGGAACTGCTGAAGAGAGACGCTTCGCCTGAGGACCTGTCCCCGTCTGTGGATCTTGAGTCGTGGCTTGGACCTGAAGAACCTTCCAATTCGCCAGAGGACTTCGATAAAAGCTCCAACTCTGAAGTGAAAAAGGTGCTGGCTCTTGACTTCACAAACGGAGACGGACTGGAAGTTCACTACGGCTTTATGAGAGGTCCTTCCATATTTTCGTCCAGCATGGTGTGTGTGAGGCTCTTCCTTCACAACAAATCGTCGGAACCAATGCATGGGATAGAAATCAACGATGGAGAAACTGCAGGGTACGCAGCTGTTCTTTTTTCTTGGCTTGTCTAATTTGCTCTCTTTTCTCTCAGACGCCAGACTGCTTTCGAGAGTGGCACAGCGAGAATCATACCACCGGAAGCAGTTGCTCTCGAGCCAGGGGAGAAAACGGAACTCAATGCGCATGTTGATTTTCGGCACAACCTAAGTATCGTCAAGGTGTGCCTGCACTGCAACTCAAACAAGTTCCCTATCAAGATATCGCCAGAACCAGGCGTTCTTTTGCGTCCTCGGAAGATGAGTATAAGCGTGTTTTTGGCTGCTGAAGCCCGAATTGCTGGGATGCACAGGTCTTCTCGGAGGTGAGCTCTCTCTTAGTCTAGCTTGCCGAAACTTAGTCTTGTTCTGGTGCTGCAGAATTTATCTTCACGGAATTTCTCCGGGACAGTGTTGCAAAAGAATAGTCGCAGCTGCCAGGGTCTCATTCATAGGCTCGCGAGACGCCGAAGACGTGGTTCTTCTTTTTGGCGCGGAAACTCTCACAGGGTCACTGTTATGTCTAATCTCCGTGGCCTTGGAACCGGATGCTGTGCATGGCACGCTTACGATCTGCTGCGAGGACACTTTATTTGGCCTTGCGTTGCTGAATCATCTCGACAAAGCCTTGACATCTCTTGAAAGCATCGATTCGTAACCATGTGTGCTCATGTGCATCTTGGCACGCGGCTATATTTTTTCGTCTACGGGAGACATGCTCGCTCGCTGCTCGTGCTCAACAGTTACATATTTTTTTCGTCTTATCTGGGAAGCGGCCCAACTTAATATGGTAACTTAAGTCCTGTTGTCCGTTGAAGATTCTTTTGTAACTTTGTTGTTTACTGGTTCCTTAGGTGTCGCCGGCTATAAACACGCGAATTTTCCTAAATGGTGGCGGCTAGTGCCATGGTAACTACACTTCAGTGCGGTGGGGCCTTGACGTCTACATTTTAGAAACGGCTCCAAACGCTTGCGTCTGCCGCGTGTTCATGTTCATTCAAGCCAAGAAAATCCATGAGCCGCGCATCATCGCCGCCTTCGAGCTCAACGAGGAATGACGCTACCTCTTTCAGGTTGCTACCAGTATGCTGCATTTGAAAAGGATAAGCTGCGGTGCCTTGCTGCTCTCGGTCAGCTGCTATTTGCTTCTAGTTCTTGTTCTACTAGTCTTTCCGGAGCACAGGATCAGCATTTCGTCCGATCTCAGGCGGCCGCTCTTAAACAACCTGGTACGAGACGAGGCCGGTGGCCAAGTCAGTTTCGACAGGTGCTGGGGGAAAAGAGTCTATGTCTACAATCTTCCAGCGCAGCTGAACGAGGGGCTGGTGAAGAAATGCGACAAGCAACTGGTTTGTTGGCTAGACTTTTGCCGGCACCTTGAGAACTATGGGTTTGGACAGGCAATTGATCGGAGCGCTGGCTGGTACGCTACCGATGCTTACATGCTGGAGGTGATTTTCCACTCCAGGATTCGCAACTATTCTTGTCTGACGAACGACTCCAGTCGAGCAGACGCCTTGTTCGTCCCGTACTATGCCGGCTTCGATGCTCTTCAGTACCTTTACAGTGGCGGTTGTGTGAAGACAATGCAAGACCGGCACGGGGTGGAGCTTGCAAAATGGCTGGAAAAACAGGCTGGGGATGCGTGGAAGAGGTGGAACGGGAGAGATCACTTCATGGTGATGGGAAGGACTTCGTGGGACTTTGCGGTTGCTCGGGGATCATGGGGAACAGGGATACAGGGACTGGATCACGTAGCCAACATGACGACCCTCTACATCGAGAGGAACCCGTGGAAAGAGAACCAAGTTGCGGTGCCTTATCCGACGTCCTTTCATCCGTCCAACGCCACTCAGCTCAACGCCTGGATCCGCACCGTGGCCACGTCGCGAAGAAAGTACCTGCTGTCATTCTCGGGAGGGATTCGAGCCACCATGAAGGACGCGACGAGCGTGAGAAGCACTCTTCTCAGGCAGTGCCAGAAACGGGCGGAGCTGTGCGTCCATGTCGACTGCGGAGGATCGCTCAAGTGTGGTCACGATCCCCGGCCGAGCGTGGCAAAGTTTCTCGAGTCGGAGTTTTGCTTGCAACCCAGGGGAGACACGGCCACCCGGAGGTCGGCATTCGACGCCATCATCTCGGGGTGTATACCGGTGTTCTTCCACCACGACTCGGCCTACTCGCAGTACGTGTGGCACCTTCCATCGGATCCTGGCAGCTACTCGGTGTTCATCGCCGAGGAATCCATCACGGGTGGTGGCGTCGACGTGGTGGAGTTTTTGAGCTCTTTGCCCGGCGAGAGGATCCTGGAGCTGAGAAGCAGCGTGGTTTCCTTGATTCCCAGGTTGATATACCGAATGCCTGGCGGAGAAAATGGGAGTGGATTCGAGGATGCTTTCGACGTGAGCTTGAGGGAAGTGTTGCGTAGGATTACAGGGCGAAAAGCTGGGAATTAATGTTTAATGTTTAAAGTTTAGTCCAACCTTTTCTTTATCACATTATTTAACATGTGGACAATCTACGCCAAGTTAGGCAACAACCTTCGCGAAGGCATTCTGTATCTTCAGGAAGCTGGTGACTGGTGTTCCCGTCCTAGGCGTAATCCACGCCAAATGATACTGCTCCGATACCTGGATTATGATGCCTTTGCTGCAAGATGACACTGAAGTCTGGGTGTTATACCTGCGCAACAGCAGGCTCCGGAATCTACTCCCCTGAGTCACAGTATTGCCCTTGCTTCCCAGAGGACATTACTGAGGCCATTGGACATCTGCACCGACGTAGAGCAGCGGATGCGCATGCTGAACTTCTACAGGGCGAAGATACTCCACCCAATCTTCAATGCAGAGAATGGACCATCAATCAGCTAGTTCCAACCTATAAGACTGGAGATCCAACGCTTCCAGAAAACTTGATTAGTTCGATCTTCTCCAAAATCTTCGCTCGCCTAACGACAGCTTGTGGCTTGAAAAGTATGCAAAGCGGGCTCTCGGACAAGGAGCCTTCTGCCACCATTACAGACCACTTGATAACACTTTGACACTACACGGACAACGACGGAAGCCGACTTCTCTGCTGCTTTGACGATTTCAAGAAGGCCTTCGACACTGTCCCATAACGAAAACTCATTGAACGACTCCAAGCGCTCAACAGTCCACCAGGAATTATCACGGCCATTGAGCAACTCCTCACATATTTAAAAGGTATCTTTGAGAACGCAATTATCAGGTATCCAGATGGCAGAATTATACATCTACCTCCTCCTCTAAGTTGATGATCTCCTTCTAGTTGCCTCAACTTGTGTGCTGAAGTGATGGCCTTTGAAAAAGCTCAAGGCGACTGACACATTCACCTATGACGGCCAGGCATTGGACGATGGAGTCCTACAAATACCTTGGATACATGATCCACAAGAGGAATTTTTGGGCTACTGGTACTAGGGAACGCATCAAAGTGCCCATTATGCTCTGCAAAGTGATCTCAAACAAGTGGGTATTTTTCGTTGGGATGCACAACAACAATACTACCAGACTAAAGTTGTCAGGGTACTAGCCTATTGAAGTGAGGTATGATCACTTACCAAGCTTATCACAATTTCTGAAGTGACACTTTGCTATTTATTTGTTTATTCATTTATTTTATTATAATCTGTTCATGAGGTCTAAATATACAGTTATGATGCCATATATTAATATTAGCATAGTGAGATTTTGGTAGCCGTTAGATTAATTTTAATCCGGACCACTCGCTTCTATATATAAGCTAGGGTCTTTGGGTTAATTGATATGCACATTTTCTATATTCCCTTTCTATATTCCAAACACTCACCAAAAAGGTGCAATGAAAGGTCCTTGAGGAATGTTTGGATTTGGGATTTTAGTTTAGATTTAACTTTTGCATCATTTAGATTTAGTTTTTTCCATTTCCTTTCTTTTATTCTTTTCTTTCAGGATTTTGATTTAAATTTAGCTTTTCCATTGTTTAGATCTCTCTTTTCTTCTAGTTTTTTCTCATTTCCTTTTTTTTACTCTATCTTTTTCATTCATTTTTATGGCAGAGCAGTAGTCTCTTCTTCTGACTTTAGAGTAGCAATTGGTGCAATTGCTTGATGCCATATGATTGCAATTGAACAACCAAACTTAGTTGATGGCGGCATTCACAGCACGTGGTAGCTCCTCTTACTCTTGGTGCCAATCCTCGCATTTGGCCAAAGTTATTTCATAGGAATCTTAGGGATGATGTGTACCATTGGTTTGATCACTTCATGGTGATTGCCATATATCATTTTTGGGATAATGTTCGACATTTGTGTGAGTTTCCCATGTGTCTTCAAAGGACGGCACTATAGTGGTACAATGGTTTGAATGCAGCCACTCGTAGGGATTGAAGTGTTCTCCCAGACATCTTCAAAAGCGCATTTGAACATGCTAATGATTGTGATGATGCCTTTTAGAGGAGGTGCAGGAGGAGAAGAAAGACGAGGTTGCGATGAGCGCTGCGGCTCCTCCAGTGGAAGAAAAGAAGGTCGTCGACAATGCTCCTCAGCAATTGCATCGTTTTCGTCAAAGGCTATCTAAGTTGGTAATGCAATTTGGCATTCGTTTCCGAAGCTTCTTGTTTCGTGTGGAGCCAAATATGTTGGAGTGGATCAAGCTAGGAATGTTGTGGCCAGCACTTCATCAAGATCTTGTCAGACTTGTGCATGCACTTGCTCTAGCCACCCTTGATGATGCTCTTCACTTGGCACAACATTATGAGACGTCGCTTTTTCCACTTCTCGTTGCACGTCCTTTCACTCCACTTCCTGTGGGTGATGGTCTTGTTCCAATGAAGGTTGATGCTACTGCTACTCAAGTCCAAGGACAAGGGCAAGGATGTGCTTGTGGCCATGATGTTTGCTGCTGGGTATATGATAAAGTTAGTTATACTTATCGGCGTTGTCGGTGTTTTCCGGATTGGCAACCTCCATTTTCTAGGTGGAGACCTTGATGTCAACAACGTCCTGTTGGTGTTGCTGTAATGGAAGGTCTGGACACCAAAATGCATCCTCTTGATGAAACTCCCAAAAGAAAGATGGAGGGATTATTAACTTATTCGTGTAAAGTCCCTCTATTACTTGCACGATACCTCGTTTCCCGGCACTAGTTCATTCAATGTTTACTTTCCAAGTTCATTTTTATAACAAAAGGTCTTTTATTATTCTCTCCGTGTTAGTTGATACAGGTTCGAGTTTATTTTTTATTGCTCGATCTGTTGCCACACGTTGTTGTCTATATTTGCATCGTGTGGCGGAGTTAGTTTTCATTCTTTATAGCAATAGCCATACACATGCATATGCACGGGATGAGGTGAACTTAGTTGTGTGTGTGGGCGATCTTGAGCTTGGGTTGCAGTCATTGCGGGTGGTGCCGAGTAAAGCTTTTAACCTTATCCTTAGTATGGATTAGTTGCAACGCAATCATGCCAAGTATGACTTTGAAGCTTTTCCCCCTTGTTTCATACTTCCTTATATTTCATTAATTCCTCTTGCTTCAGTACCTCTTTGTCCCTCTGCTTCTACCTCTGCTTCCATTACTTTTGTCCCCCCACTCCTTCCTCCTATGTTTCCGTCTTGTTTTGCTCTTCCTTTTTTTAATCCCTTTGACAATTTTTGTGTTGCAGCAGTTGACTGGCTCATGAAGGAGTATTCTGATCTCTTTGAATTTGACATATCGTCTAGGGCCAAGATTGCCACATCTCATTCAATTCTAACCGGGGATGTTCGTCCAATCAAGGTTCATGTTTGTCATCAGTCACCCAAAGAGATCAAGATTTTATATACAAACATAAAAGAGATGTTGGAGAAGGGTGTTATTTGGAAGTTGTGGAGTTTATAGGCATGTGAACTTCATCTTGTGATGAAGCCTGATGGGAGTATTCATTTCTACATCGACTATCATCTGTTAAATAAAGTGATGATCTTGGATGTGTACCCTCTTCCTCACATTGCTGATCTCTTGGATCATCTCGGGCAAAGTCATTGGTTCACCAAGCTAGATCTTGCTTCTAGGTACTGGCAAGTACTGATGGCTGAAGAAGATATTTCTAAGATTGCTTTTCGTACACCATTTGGTTTGTATGAGTTCTTGGTGATGCCGTTTTGCTTGAATAATATTTTAGGAACTTTCCAGTGGATGATGGATGAGGTTTTTTGTGATATGTTGGAGGTAACTATTGATTTCATTGATGATGTCTTGATCCACTCAGAGGGGACATAGGAGGAGCACGTTCGTGATGTTTGTAAAGTGTTGGATCGGTTACGGGACATTAATTTAAAGCTGAAGTGGTCAAAGTGTGTATTTCGGTCCAAGAACACAACTTATCTTAGGTACCGTATTTCTCATGAGGGTTTGCAAGTTGATCATGACAAACTTATGGCTGTTTTAAAGTTCCCTACTTTGAAGTGTGTGAATGATGTGTAGCACTTCCTGAGCAAGGTGCAGTATCTCGGTCATTTTGTGGATCATCTTTCTGATCACACTGCACCGTTGTGAGCATTGTTGAAGTCATTAATGTCATCTTTCATCTGGTCTCCGGATTGTGAGTAAGCATTTGTGGATCTCAAAGAGTTGTTGACGGCTCCTCTAGTTTTGGCATATCCTGACTACACTCAACCTTTTATTTTGTGTGTGGATGCTTCTGATATTAATCTTGGAGGTGTGTTGATGCAAGAGAGCCCAAGTGTGCCTGGTCAGCGCTATCCCATTATGTATATAAACTGTATATTACAACCAATGGAGATGAACTACTCCATGAAAGAGAATGAGTGTTTAGCAGCAGTGTAGCGCATGTGATTATGGGATGAGATTTAGATATACTGTCACCGTGGATCCTTGGAACCTTCAGGGATAAATGGGGATAAAATAGCCATTAAGGGCTCTCTCATTAAGCAATTGCCCCTTTTCTAGTTGGCTTAAGGGGAGAGAGATAAGGTGTGCTATAGTTGGTATCGGAGCAAATGGCACGGGTTTGATTCCCATTGATTAGTGGCTACTTAAAAGTATAATATACCCTTGAGCAAGGTATATTCCTACCCCTAAATTTGAAATCGTACGTATTGGGCATCCATACGTACGTCCTTCCTCTTGTGTGGAGTATCCACAGACGAAGGTATCCACCATGGGACTGCGGTACGGGTGAATAACTAGTTGTCTCACATGGAATAGCTACTCTACACAATGGAAGGATTGGTAGATTGAGTGCAGAAATGGAGGTGTTGGTTCCCCTTGGCTCAGTAGGGGCTGTTAATCAATAGTCAATGAGGATATTAACATCTCTAAAGGGGGGGGTGAGTGTAGCACATGTGATCATGGGATGAGATTTGGATATACTGTCACCATGGATCCTTGGAACTTTGGGGGATAAATGGGGATAAAATAACCACTAAAGGCTCTCTCATTAAGCAATTGCCCCTTTT